TGTTTACATGTAAATCATATGATATCATATAAAATTCATTACACAAAGTTGATCTACAATTTATTTTATATGAAATTAGAAATTTGTACACCCTACCCTTAATACATATAACAATGTTTTCAGCATATTATCTAAATATCATCTTATTAATTACTTATATCACTTTAATACAGAGATGGTAAATGACTTGAAATGACCCAAATGACTCAAATGACTCGTGACCGGTCATTTGTCATCTCACGTTCAAATGACCCCATGAAGATCATTTAACATTTGTTAAATGATATTCTAAGCATGTTAGCCAATCAAAATCAAGAATAAATAACTATAAATTAAATATGTCATAACTTTTTACGTACATACATATGTACTCGTTTTACCTTTTATGCATTTAAGTATTTAAATAATTATTTATATTTATTGATATTTTTGATACTTAATTACTATATATACAAACAAAAATATATGAAATCAGATTTTTTGCAAAAACTTTGTAGCTTATAAATATAAACAGCTCTTTAACTTTAATAGATATAAAAGATAAGTTATAATTACACTATTATTTTATTCTTAATTAGAGAGCTGTGCCCACATTCACTAGTTTGAGATTGGTTTTCAAATAGTATATACTAGGCTTCACAAAATATCTTTAATTTGCTATAACAAACACTTTTGATATTTATTTATATTATGGCTAATAATTCCAGAATTTTATTTTATATATAAAAATTTGGTTGAGACTCACTGCTTCTTTGAGCTTATTTGTTTTTTATATCTTATAAGTTGTGAATTATCTTGCCGGTAAGAGTGTTGATGAATGGGACTGGGAATCAAATCATGATTATGGGCAATTTATTTATATATTAACAAATAAATGACTATATGAAATTTTATAAATTATAGTATTGATTCAATAAATTTGATCTATTTTTAAGTTTAATACTAATAACAGAAAATGAGACTATATTGGGGTTTTGATTATTATCTTAAACAAAATAGAATCCTATTTCCCAAAGTTAAACTATATAATATCATCGTTCAAACAAATGGTTGGGTCGCAACCCTAAAATTTGACCTTGGAGTTGATAACGCACTTTTGAATATTATAACCACTTCAGGATATTGTAACCAAGTTAACAGAATAAAATCGTTATTATTCCACTCTTTTTGTAATAATTATTAAAGTTTTTTATAAGAATTTAATATGGTTATTTTGGTGAAGTATTTGAAGTATTATTACTTACTGGAAGACAAAAGAAATAGGAGGTTCCAATAAATCATCAAATAACTCTGATAAATTCCATTTTGCCAATGAATCCTCTGCTGGATAGGTAGTGTGTCCATAAATTTCGAATTCAAGTGGTTCATTACTTACAGTTCCCCTATTATCTAAATGATTCTCAGTATTTAGCATACCAATCCAATTTTCAATTGTACGCGACCAACCATCTTCAGCATCATCGATTGCGTCATCATTAGTTGTTTCATTAATTTCATTCGGTTCAACTAATGGACTGTTAAGAGTTGATGAGCGTATTTCATTATCACTTGTGATTAATAACTCTTCAGATAATTCCTGCATATTATCATTATTGTCATTATAAGGTTGAATTGTGTGTTCGTTTATATTGTAGTTCTGCATTTTCAATTTCTACACATCTTCTCTTGCTTACTATATCACTATGCAATTGGCTCATCGCTAATACTTTCTTAAACTTGATTTAAATTGTAAAATAAAAATTAAATAGTAAATACAGTATAACAAAAATAAAATAAAATAACAATAAAATAAAAAAAAAAATACTGGTAAACGATTTCGACATTTCGTATATAAAAAACCCATAGTTGACCATAATCATTCTACTGAAGCTGAGTTAATACATATATCAAATAGTTGTAATGCCAACTGAGATAATTCTGGTGCCATGCCTTTAGCTGTTTCCCAAAAATCAGCAACATTTTCAAACTGGTTGTATGTTTTTTTATTAAAGGGAAAGTCCTCTCTTTGATACAATAAAAATTCACGTAAAATACGTGTTAGTACTTTTCCAAACCATATGTAGTAATAATAATTTAACCATTCAGCAAAATGCGTATAAGAAAGATCAGGTACGTTAGAAGAAAACTTCGAAAGACGGTATTTTGGATGCAAAATAAATGAAAGTAAAAGCAAAGGTTGCTCCCATTGAGCCCACCGATTTTCCAGATGTGCTACCATATGAGCAGAAAAATTTTCATCTTAATGGTTTGTAAAAACTTTGATAAGCCAACCAAAACAGTGTACTATATCATGTAATCTTGCGACATCCTTTTGAAGTTTATTTAATACGCTATACAAAGGAAACAATAAATCTTGAAGTTCATAAAGATGATTCTAAAAATTAGGGTCTTGTAAGGTTAATATAATATCTTGCGGAAGCACCTTTCTTGCATTGGTATCTTCAGATATGAATCATTGTCTTGAAAATCCACTTCGAGAGGTACTAACGGTTCTGATTCTTATTGGCGAAAGTTTTGTAGCTAATGTCTAATTGAAGTTTTTTATATACTACTGGTTAAAATATTTAATTTTAACTAAAATAGTACTGAAGATTTAGCGTATTTGTTCTAAACACTAAAATATTTGTCAAAAAAAATATTTTTTCTTCTACTAGTATACTTTATTAACTACTTACTTTAAGTGCAGCCTCGATTTTTAATACGGAATGAAAACAAAAATAAAAACTGTTCCATCGAGTTTCAGCGGGAGTTACAAGAGAAATAGTTTGATTATAACATGACATTTGCTCATTTCTCAATAAACCGGTAAAATATGGAGACGAATGAAAAAAGCTAACAACACGTATCACATTTTTTGATACTTTTTTATATGTCGCAGACTCTTTAAAAATATCACCAATAACTAAATTGAGTTGGTGTGCTATACAAGGCATAAAAATTTTATCGAGATATTCAACTCTAAGCTGCCATCTGTATAAAAAAAAAAAATCAATAATTGTAATAATAATAATTACAAACTTGTTTATTTGAGTGCTGCAGAGCGAAAAGCTGGATGTGAATATTTAAGTTTTCGCTATGGTGAGTTTAACCCCTGATGAATTCTGATGTTACGAAATTAATCATGTGTATGATCAGTTTTCTAGTTATTTTGATAGTATGTAACACCTTTATATAGAAATGAAAATTAGACTCATCGGCTCTATTAATTAATCGATTTTTATTACAAGAATACTGATTATCAATACGTAATGTTGCAATTCATCAGGGCTAAACTCGCTATAGTGAAAACTTAAATATTCACTTCCAGCTTTTCGCTCTGCAGCACTCATTTAAAATTTACCTGGCAGCTGCATACTCGCCGGCAGAATCTGATATGTAACAGTTTATTTTTATACCTTTTTCTTCTGCGTCATCCATTATATTTTTGATAAGAAGTTTTACATTTTCAGTTTTTGATCGTTGATCACTAATATCACATGTGCTCCAAATCAAAGATTTACCCTTAGAAGTAATCAAGACAATACTAAAAAGATGTTCCCGCTTGATGTTTGTCCAGCCAGCAAAGGCTGCGGTTACTCCAATTTTATCTGCACATGCTTTTTGTAAAATTTCATCATTTAAATTCATAAAAATTTTTGGAAGAATTCGGTCACTTATTGCTCGACGATTAGGTAGCTTTAAACTTGGAACAGTAAAATTGAAAAGATCTTTTGTTTCTTGATTTTCTATAAAAGTAAAAGGAAGGCTGTTTGACACAACCATACGTAATACCAAATTTTCGAAATGTAACTTATCTTTATCAGACAGTGGGCGTGAAATATAATTGGTAAATAGTTTTTGTATTTTGATAGTTGAGGAAGGTTGGTTTGTCGAAGTAGGCAAGTTTGTTGTTGATGTTTCATCATCTTCAGACTCAGAATCTACCTCATCTGCTATGAAAAGTAAATATTATAATGTATTAAACAATAAATAATTGCTTAAATATATAGTTTAATCTTACCTTTGTTATCCTTTTTTTTGGCATCTTCAGGAACCAGCCATGCAAGAATTTCCAAAAGTTCATCATCATTATAATCTGCCTTAAAATTTTCACAAGTTCGAAGATGGCCCCGACATAATTTTGCCTTATTAGACACAAAGCACTCAGGTCTGGTAAGAGCAACAGATAGGGTATATTTTCGCGTACATGAAAGGCATACTGCCTTTTTGTTCGCTTTTGAGTTATCAGGTGCGACCAAATGAAAAAATTCTCGAAAATTATGTTTTTTTTTTTACCCATTGTAAAGTTTAGTATGAAAAATAACAAACAATATTTATTTATAAATATTTAGCACAAGGTGTTTCTTTTTAAATATAATAATCATTTATTTTGTTTGCATTTTCACACATGAAACTCTTTAAATAAATATTTATGGTGAAGCTTTATTGAACAAGTGCCCACCTGCTGCCTATTAGGTAATGTTTCCATTTATATTTTTGCTTTTCTTTTTGTTCATTACTAATTTTATTCTTTAATGTTTAATTGTTATGTGATTTAATGAGCTTATGCCCACATCCACCTAAAGACCCCATTGTATTTGTAATGGGAATTTCCCATGTACAAGTCCGTTTCTTTATTTCAGAAAAAAAAAATCCCGATTGTTCTGGTTCTGATATTTTATATTCTTACATCGATAAATAAATTGTATTACTTTTCATGTTCACCTTACTTAATTTGCATATTCATATAATGATAAAATTAATATTAATACTCACGTTATCATTATTATCGTTATTATTATTATTTTTCACTTTGCATAATTTATCACTTTTATTTGATTTAAGATGCCCTTTCAACAACTTTCGTTAATGCCTTGATAATTAACTTCCAATTTCATAAAAGCAATTATTTTATAGTTGGATTGGGAAAACCCTGAATCTCTTACTAACTACATGCAAATTTATGTATTTTGTGCATCATCTGATAATATGCCAAATAAGCTGCATTTAATTATGTCATAATACATATGTATGTATATACGTACGTACATACAAACAGGGCACAAAATAAATAACTTTGATTAAAGCAATTTGCTGTATAATTTAGGTAGGCAAAAAATCTATGTTAAATAGACAAATTTCATTGGTCGTCATATCTAAATTTTGAAGACTTTGTTACCAAATGACCTAATGACTCTAATGACCTCGGTCATTTGTAAATGACCTAGGTCATTTGGTCACGGGTCATTTATAAATGATCAAAATTTAAATGACCAAAAATGACCAGTCATTTAAAGGTCATTTAAGGTCATTTAAAAAATATTTAAATGACCTAGTCATTTATCATCTCTGCTTTAATATATATAATCTTAGCACACATACTAATAATACACACTATATATGGTCTAATAATATTAGCCAAAGTCGTATTGACTACATCTGGACTAACATATTTAACATCCAGTTTCTCTTTTCATACAACCTCTACATCTAGTGATCACTCTATTCTTCTATCTTCTTGGATATTTACTAATGAATACAACAAACCTCCACATTATCATACTGGTATTAGCTAAAGAATATTTAACTTCAAGAGTATATCATTAGAAGAGTAGACAGAATTTTCTGACCTTCTTGCCCACAATCTCAACTTACACTGCACTCCCCTCAATACTAAGACTAATGAAAGTATTGATACTATCTGGTATAAGATTGAGCATGCAATTATTAATACTGTTATACATGCTATACCTAATAAAATAATCTGAAAATGAAGTTACAACTACAAATATATATCCTATTGCACTACACTCTATCTTTTACTTAAAGAGATTAGTCACTTAATCAAAATCATCAAAAATAATAATACTTTAAACATCAACTTAATTAACTTTAAAATTCAAAATATCAATTTGAGATCATATTGCAACCTTCAAACACTCACCTCTTCTCAACTTTCTCAATCTAACACATGGATCCAACATGCATAAGATGTTTGAAAACAACTTTACAATGCCCATCAGATTGAAAACTCACTCTTACTTTGGCAACAAATCAAACAAGCAACTAAAAAAAGATGCGAAATACTCTCTTCTAAACCTAAACAAGCTATTAATAGTATTTTAAACTGCTATCAATCTCTATTCACTTTTCTAATATCAAACTTCCTAATTAACTAATCACCGATCCTAATCTTATCAAACAATATATACAATCACACTTCTTCAACTAGACAGCCTATCGATTAACTGACCAAAATTTATTTAATAACTTTTGGTCTGAACAATATCAACCCCAAACACATATTAATACTCAGTAGTATAATTCTCTTACTTTTCCTATCTCAAAGGAAGAAGTTTTACAAACTATAGCAAAACTCCCAAATAGAAAAGCCTGTGGACTTATAGACATCAGTTATGAAATGCTTAAACATACAAAGGTTACCTGCATCAAAGCTTTAACTGCCTTATTCAACCACTGCTTCACTTCTAGCTATATTCCTAAACAGTAAAAACATAGCAGAATATATCCTATTCCAAAGCACAATACATTCAATAGAGACCTCAATCTTACTTGGCCTATAAGTCTTATTGAATACATTTA